ATGTTGAAGGATTTAGGCAGAAAATTCCTAAATGCAATCAGATGCTGTGACTGTCGTTCCGGCCCCCACTTGTTCCAGGTAACGGGATCGATCTTAAACTGGTCGTAACCAGGAGCAAGGCGGTATTTTCCCATTCCCCTTAGGGCCCTCTCTTCTTCGACATAAAATTCGTTGGTCCACTTCTCCAGCGTAGAAGAAACTTCGGCGACCTCTTTTGGTACTTCGTCCTCTCGGAGACGCTTTTTCTGGAGCTTATGCTTAAGTTCAAGGCCGTTAGTATAAAACCTTCCGTCCAAGCCCAGATCTTCTCGGGCGGAGTGAATTAAACAGCTTTTGAACTGTTCTGACCTGTGTTTGATGAACCAGGAGTGAAACCCTGGCGCTAAGGTTTCCCAAATAGGTCTCAGACTTTGAAGTTTGGCGTCAAAGTCTTCTTCGTCGTCTGAATCTGCAAGGCCATCTTGCTGAAGAATATCTTGCTGACAGCCATAAATATCGGTCAGGATACGTTTCTGTGTCTTTTCGTTAGCCCCAATTGACTTCAGATGGAGTAGGTCGCGTTCTTTAATATGCTGCGTGCACCACACATTCTTTGCATCTTGGAAAACATCTGTCATTCCCCTGGCGATGGCTTTATCGAGATCGTGACCAATTTTTTGTATGCCTGACAATTCTGGTTTCTGTATCAGCAGTTCGCCAGCAAATCTGCGATAGGTCTCACGGTTTTTTCGAAAGTGCCAGAAACTTGGGCCGGGAAATTCTGGGTGTTTATTGGCATTTCTTTCGTTGATAAGACCTTCATGCTGAAACGAAGTGTCTGTAAGCCACAGCCCGTCAACGAGCTCGAAGGTGGTATCCACATGGAGTATGCTGTTACCAAGAACACAGAAACGATAAATGTCATTCATCACGTGACTTGGTACATTTACAGATGTATATTGCTCTTTCGTGAAAGTAACGCTGTTAAGTATGGGAACTTTATGTAGACCAGCTATCAAACTTTCCGCTTCACTGTACTCTGTTGCCGTGCTTGTATCACCAGACGATTTGTAATGGTACCGCCTGTTTGCGATCATTTTTGGGTCAGAGATAGTTTGACTAACAGTATCGGTATTCCTGTCAGCCATTTCACTGTATATTCTGTCGGTGGACATCCCTTTATCTAGTAGGTTGTCGATGGTACTGAAAACCTCTGGGTCCTTACAGAAGTAACTTGAAGATGTGGGCTTCTTTGCGTTCCCATGTCGTTGAGTTACAAACTCCTTTTCTCCCTCTGTCCACTTGTAAATAACGAGGTAGTAAGGTTTTAACTCTTTCTCTTTGATTCCCTTCACAGTAGCAATTGTTCGAGTGAATGTTGGGTTCCATTTACTTGCTCTATAGAATCTTGTAAGCTCGAAAACAA